CATACTAATGTTCATTGAAGATAGAAGTCCTGGTAACAATGGCAGCAGGAGGGAAGGGAGGGAGGGGAATTGCAGTGGATGCTGAGTTATCTTGGCCAGAAAAGTGGAGCAAGCTGTTGGAAATAGGTAGTTGGTTGGTTTGTACAGCAAAGCAAAAGTGTGCTGCTTATATACCACTCCATAGCACTTAAAGCATTCTCTGGGTAGTTTGCAATTTAATTATGCAGGCTGCACATTGTTTCACCACCACCACCATGAGCTGGGTACTCAATTTATCAACCTTGGAAAGATGGAAGGATGCGTCAACCCTGCACCAGCTACCTGAGCCCATCAGGATAAAACTTAGCTTGTGATAAGAGTCTTGACTGGAGTGTTGCAGTTTAACCACTATGGCATGATGCCCCTTATATGCTATATATATAATCTTAGAACTGCAGAGCTGGAAGGGACCCTATGGATCTCCAAGTCCAGCTGTAGTCGAGGAGGCACATTGGGGAATTGAACTCCCAACCTCTGGCTTCGCAGGCAGATACCAAAACCACTGAGCTATCCAACAATTCACCATCAGTTCCTCACTGCAAAAAGGCATTCCTTTCTTAGTCTTCTCCTTTCCAAACTCTTGTACACTGCACAAGCTCCATTTAGGCATCCTTCAGTCTCGAGAGACTATGGTAACCTGCTCTGTATGGAGGACTTGAAACAGCGTCTAGTGTGGCTGAGAAAGCCAATTCAAGAGTAACAATCCCTTCCACACTGAAGACAAATACAATCTGTACACTGTCTAGCTCCATGATTTTACTGCTTTCGGGACTGCCTCTTTGCCTTGGTAGAGGCCATGATGCACCGCCTGCCTCCAGGCTGAACACTCAGATGTCAGGGTTTCCCATCTGCTGAGGCCCATTCCTAAGGTCTTCAGATCTCACTTGTAGATATTCTTGTATTGCAGCTGTGGTCTCCCTCTGGGGCGCTTTCCCTGCACTAATTCTCCATACAGGAGATCTTTTGAAATCTGACCATCAGCCATTCTCACAACATGCCCAAGTCAACATAGATGTCACTCTTTCAGTAATCTATACATGCTAAAAATACAAGCTCCATTATCCCCTCTGATAATGGTAGAATAGCAAAATGTTTGCATTTTGTTTAGTTAATTTGCACGAGCAGTCCATCTGTCTTTGGACTGCTCATGCAAATTAACAGTTTTTCAGATTATGAACAGGTATCTATACCTGCCTGACTTTCTACCTATGATGCATAAATGGTTTCATGTTTTCATTACCTCTTTAAACAACATATAGATTGCAGCAGGATCCAGAATGCGGCAGACAAACTGGTGACTGGTGTGAGGAAGTTTGATCACATTTCCCCAGTCTTGGCTCACCTCCACTGGTAACCTGTGGCATCCTAGGTCAAATTCAAGATTTTGATTATCACCTATAAAGCCCTTCACAATTTGGGGCCATGTTATCTGTTGGAACATCTTTTCCTAAGCTCACCTACTGCTCTACTAGCTCTTCTGAGGCAATACTCCACCACATAGCCACTTCAAGGGAGACCAGGAAATCATCCACCAGAAATAGGGACTTCCAGTTATTCTGGAAATAACTACTGGTGGCAGTGCTAGATTTATAAGGAGGTAAAGGAGACAAATGCCCAATATCCCTGCCAGAAGGGCTCCCCCATAAAAAAATACAAGAATTAAAAATTAGTTTCTTTTATTAAAATTTATACAGTATTGGGAAATAATACTTTGCCTGCAATCATATGTAAAAGTGCCAGAATTAACCATTAAGCAAAATAAGCATGTGTTTAGGTCCTTAAGGGAAGTGGAAGACCCCACAGAGTTTGCGAAAGGAAGACTAGATTTTTGCTCGCCTTGGCCAAAGCAAAGATCTGGAGCTGATTTCCTGTTTCCTTCCAGTTAGATAGAACAGATCTCATGCTTCCTTCCACTTAGCTGGAAGGAACTGGAAACCCACAACCCACAGATGGGCAAATATAATGAAATATTTGGAAGAGAGAGAATAAAAGAGCACCAACTGTGAAGTTCCTGTCAGACACTCATTGGCCAGCAAGATCTGATACTACTGAAGCCTTTGTACAGTATATGGATACAACTGCATTCAAAATGCCCTCAGAGATACTGAATGTGACTTGCAGCAAACACCTAAAGCAAGACATGAAGCTCAGACATTGACAGACAAAATGGATTCTCTTGAGACTGCTCTGAGGGCCAAAATCTGGAACTTAAATCTTGAACTGTTCAACAGCAGACAATAAGCTATTCAAAGATCTGATCTGAAGAATGTGGTGGACCTAATTTATTCTCTGGAGGAGTTTCTGAAATCACTTCGGGATAGGTTTGAAGAGGTGGAACTGGATGCCAGGAACCTCTATGGCAACTCAGACTACAAAGCAACTACAGGGAGGCCAAGAAAGAGAAACAAACCTTATGATGTGAATACAACATCAGTCTCAGATGAACGTATCACTGCTTCCCCTCATGATTTCAGCAAGGCTTTCATAGATGAAACTGTCCAGTTTGCAGCCTTTGCCAAAACTCAGGTCATGTCTCACTCCATCTCAACAGGCAGTTTTACTCCATGATGTTTTACTCACTTATATCTTTCCAAATATTGATGTAGCTCTTAGAATATATTTGAGCTTGGTGGTCACTAGTTGTTCAGGAGAGAGATAATTCTGCAAATTGAGACTAATAAAGAATTATCCAAGAACCATGATGATCAATGAAAGACCTAAGTGCTCTGTGGCTACTGGATGTAGAGAGCAATGTCCTAAAGAAGATACTGTACAGTCTGAGGAATTCATTAAAGATTTCTCAGATGCCAAGTATAGAAAGACAGACTTTTTGTAGATATTCTAGTATGATGCATATAGGTCTAAATTGGTAAAACTTACTGTACTTAGCTTAGAGAGAAGCGTTTTTGGCAATACTGATGAGTTTCTCTTGCAGCTTTGTTTGTTACATATATGCCTCACCTCATGTGCCACTTTTTATCCTGTAATTTATGCCTTATGGAGTTTTCTGTTTAAGTGTTATTTACTTGTTTTATCTAATTTATGTTTATTGTGTTTTAGCCTGCTGTAAGCTACCCAAAATAGTGCATTGCATTAATGAGGTAGTATATAAATCCAAAAAAGAAAGAAAGAAAGAAAGAAAGAAAAGCTTACTATTTGATGATACCAAATTTCAAAGAACATGAAGTTCTTATCTGACACCAAAGAAGTTCAGTGTCACAGGCAGAATCTTAATCTTCTGGTTGCTGAATATTTGTCTGATAGACTATTACAGTGAACATTAGTCATGCATAACAGTTTTTGTCCCAAACAAATTTATGAATATGAAAAAAATGTTGAAAGCCGACTGTGCTTTGTTCATCTTTCATTCAGTATGAATTAGTGGACGCTTTCACAGGCTGGGGCCTTCCCCCCTCCCCCCAAGCATCCATTAAGAAATAGAATAGTTACTGAAGTTGACAATTGAAGCTACACTTCAATTGTCAAGTGACACCTGCTTTCTACAACACATACTTGAGAATATGAAATAATAATTCTTTCTGAATCATTTCCCCACATAGACATGAAAAAAGCCTATCTGATGGGTCCTCTTTTTTGCATTAATATTTTCAGTTTCATTCAAATAATACAAAAATCTTGATTGCAGTAATATTCACATGCAGGATACAGTTGTTTACAATGCAGTGTGAAGGAGTAAACATTGTCCCTCAGCTAATTATCATAATCAAGTTATTAAGTTGATATGGACTGGGGAACATTTTTTATTCTTTTTTATTTCTCCTGTCCCATGTAGACAAGTGATTTAGACTGAGAAGTATTAAACACTGTAACATATTGTGCCATAATTCTGGAAACCATAGGGAAATGAAGGCAACAGGAATGGAAAACATTATTTACAAACACTGTGCATACGCTTCCTAGAATTTAAACCAGTGTTTTTCAAACATCTTGTAGTTGCAGCATGCTTATTTTTTGCATTAAAATTGGAAGCACTTTGTATTTGCACTGCTATTGTGTTTCCTGGAGCACAGTGGTACAGATAACACTTTGGAACTTCACTGAGTTCTTTTTGGACTAAGTAGAGAAAGGAAGGAGAGAGGAGAGTAGTGGAATCATATTGAACGGATCAAGGAAAGGTGTTTTGCTCTTTTTCTGATCTGATCTTTTTCACTTAGCAGAAAGGGAGAGCTATTGATTCTTGAAGGTTAGCTGATGAGCAGAAACAGCAGTGGAAAGCAATGCTGATGGAGGATCTTTCATAGACAACTGCAGTGACATTCAAGCTAACACTTTTAGTACTGTACTAAAGGCAGTACTGGTAAACCACTTCTGAATACTCTGTATCATGAAACTCAGTGATAAGACTATCTAAAATGAAAAAAGAAATATGTCAGAAACCATTTAGTCAGTTACTGGGGCAAAGGATAAGTACAAATAATGCCATTTATAATTAAGCACCTGGATTAAAGTTAAAAGGATGCCTAGCTGCTGATGTGCACAGAGGCAAAGGGAAAACTCAAAGCAACTCAATGCATGTAACTGGAATATGAATATGAAGCTGAGTTTGAAATAATAAAATAAGAAATGGAACATTCTAATATTTACAGTACTTGGCATAAGAAAACTAAAATGGACTGGAATGAGGTATTTTCATTAGATAATTTCAAAGTATTTTACTGTGAAAATGGTAAACTCAGAAGAAACAGTGTGGCTTTAATAGTGAGACAAGAGATATTATTCCCATGGCATAAAATTGCCCAAAATGTAAGGAAAACGTGTAAGAAAAATATTAGCCAGCAATTTAAAATCTGAGCGAGCTTTCATTATCTTTATTATTATTATTACTGTTATTTCAAATGAGTCCTTGCATCCCAAGAACGTGGACAGAATTAATCAGGAAGTCTCGGAAGAAGAGACTAAAAATAGATTCAAGAGCCTTCGTGGCAAACGATCTGCTTGGGGATAAGTTTTGTCAAATGGGATCACAGAAGCCTTACTTTTTCTGGATAAGCCGAGCCTCTCGCTCAAGAGATTTTGCCAAACCGGAATCTTCACGAGGGCAAACTTTAAGCTGCGCAAGAAGCGACCGCCCGCCTTTCGGGTCTCTCCTGTGGGGCCTGACGGGGCTTCGGTCACCCCACCTCAAGGCGCTAGCCCTCGTGGTTTTATCGCGCGCGTGGGAGAGGGGGCGCCCGGCTCTTCCTCTTTCGAGGTGCGCGGACGGGGGAAGAACGTGGCGCCCCCGCCGCCGCTGCCGCCGCCGGTGCGAAGGGCGGGGATTGGCGGGTGACGTTTTGTTTGCAGCAAGTAGAGGCGAGCGTGCCGAGCGAGGAGGTGGCGAAAAGCTGCAGCGGCCGCCGAAGGTGCGAGAGAGAGAAAGTGAGCCGGGCGCTCAGCTGCAAGCGGCTTCAGGATGTAGGCGATCGGCGGAAGAGCTCTTGCTGGCAGAAGGGCTCATCATGAAGAAACATTCGGCCAGGGTCGCCCCGCTGAGCGCCTGCAACAGCCCCGTGCTGACTCTCACCAAAGTGGAAGGTAATCCTGCGCGCAGCTGGACGGAGTGGCGGGGGTACCGCCGGCTTAGGCGGCGCGACCCCGCGCCTCTTTTCTAGGCAGGAGCCCCGCGCAGGGAAAGATTGCGCGTGGGATTGTAGCCTTCGCCGCCTCGCAAGCAGGAGAGCCCTTGCTCGGGGGCGCCAAGCGGCCGCGGGGCCTCCCGGCGAGAGCGAGGGCGAGCTTCGAGCCCCTTCCGCGGAAGCCCGGCTGCGGCGGGATGCCGGGCAC